TCTTGTGATTGACATAAAAGCTTTTGTTGGATGAGTATTTGCAACTTGCTTGCCGGCTTGACGTGCACTACAAAGCTTGTCCTTCTCAAACTTTACATCCTTCAACCCTCTCACCAAATCATTCTTTATTAGCATCTTGAGTGAGCTCATCCCAACATGAGCAAGTTTTATATGCCATAGCCACCCAAGTGTTGTTTTGGTGAATAGGCAAGTCTTCAAATTAGCATCTTCGGAGGTGAAGTCCACTAGATATAGGTTGTTGTATCTAAATCCTTTGAATATCACTTCATCATCATCCTTCTTATATACAACAACTTTCTTCTCGATAAACAAGCATTGGAAGCCAAGATCACACAATTGTCCAACGGATAGCAAGTTGAAGCTCAATGAAGCAACATATAGCACATTTGAGATAGAATGATCATTTGATATTGCCACTTTGCCCAATCCTTTAACCTTGCCCTTTGAGTTATCTTCAAATGTGATTCTTTCTTGTCCATCTACTTCTTCATCTAGTGAGGTGAACATACGAGGATCACCGGTCATATGTTGTGTGCAACCACTATCAATAACCCAATGACTTCCATCGGTCTTATAGTTTACCTACACACAAGAGATCAAACTTTAGTAACCCAAACTTGTTGAGGGCCATTCACCTTCTCAACAAGTGACTTTGCTATCCAAATTTTCTTAGGCCTATTCTTGTTGAGAGGTCCTAAGAACACGACTTTCATCTTCCCACTAGAATCCTTTCTAAGCATGTAATGAGCATTGAAAGCAAAAGGTCTAGCATGCTTGGACAAAGGTTGTGGTGGTGGAGTTTGGCACTCATGGGCAAAATGGCCTTTTTGTCCACGCTCAAAACACTTCTTTGGCTTTATCTTTTGTTGTTGTTGTTGAGCTTGAGCCTTCTTCTCTTTGTTTGCCATGTACCCAGTGCCACTTCTATCCATCTTCATGACGGTGTTCATTAGTAGCTCACTTTAAAGATGCTTGCCTCTTGTGAACTTGCTCAATCTAATCTTAAGATGCTCTTTCTCCAATTTGAGCTTTTTGTTCTCTTCCTTGAGTGCATCATTATTTTTCTCTTCCTTGAGCTTCTTATTTTTTTTTCTTTGAGCTTCTCATTCTCAAGAATCAAATTACCATCATGATCAAGAGTTTCTAACACTATGGTGTTGGTGGTTTTGAGCTCTTTAAGACCTTTCTTTAGCTTTTTATTATCTTGCTTGAGCTTGGCATACTCATCATAGTTGTCGGTTTCAACCACTTGCTTGCCCTTGCTACTAGAACTTTGCTCAATGCTCTCAATGATCAAATCATCACATGATGTAGATATATCAATCTTAACAACATCGTTAGTAGCATCATGTGGCTCATTGGATAAATATTCTTGAGTAATGACAAGATTATCATGATTAATCTTAAGAGTAGTATATTCTTCTTTTAGCATGTTGTGGCTAGTGATGACCTCATTGTGCATCCTCTCAAGTCTATCATGTTTATCTTTAATCTCTTTCTTAGAAGATTTGAGCTCCTTGAGTTTGGATATTATAGCATCATTTGCTTCTCTAAGCTCAATACTAGCATTTTCTGCTACATCACATTTAGCTAAAAGAGAAGCATTCTTAGCTTCTAGCTTGTCATTCTTAGCTCTAGTCTTTCTAATGATCTTAGTATATTGATTTAGCAATTTGACAAGATCATCATAAGAAGGTGATTCATATTCATCATCATCACTATCACTATCATCATTGCTAGCATTTTAATCATCACTACTATCATCATTGTTTGATACCTTGTGTTCACCTTTGGCCATAAGGCATAGGTGTGTAGAGGATGATGGAGGTGGTGTCGGTGAAGATGATGAAGAGTCAATCATAATGGCGACCACCTTCTCATTATCACTATCATCATCGAATGAGCAAGTAGATGAATCAATGTCCGTGAGCCAATCACCGACGATGTATGTGGATTTTCCAATATGAAAAATCACCCCCCTCAAAGATAGGAGGAGGACCATCCTCGTGAGACATATTTCTCTAGATGGTTAAGTCTAAATACGTGAGCACGAGGCTCCGATACCAATTGAAAGGATCAAGATGCCCAAGAGGAGGGGTGAATTGGGCTAATTCTAAATTTCTTTGCAATAACTAAACCCTACGGTTAGCCCAATTAACCCCTTGTGCCTAGAAAGTGTTTCTATTGATCTACCACACAAAAGTTTAGCAACCTATGTTCCAATCCTACTCTAGCATGTCAATTCTATGAATGTAAATGACAAGAATTGAATTGCTCAAAGTAAATGCTCAAAGTAAAAAGAGAAGGAGGAACACGACGATGTTTTACCGAGGTATCGGAGAGTCGCCACTCCCCTACTAGTCCTCGTTGGAGCACCCACACAAGGGTGTAGCTCCCCCTTGATCCATGCAAGGATCAAGTGCTCTCTACGGGTTGATTCTTCGATACTCCGTCGCGGTGAATCACCCACAACCGCTCATAACTTGAGTTGGGTCATCCACAACCTTCGCCGGATGATCACCAAGCTCCCAATCACCATCAAGCCGTCTAGGTGATGGCGATCACCAAGAGTAACAAGCACGAACTCTCACTTGACTATGACAAGCCTAATGAGAAGGGTGGATGCACACTTTGCTACTCTTGATCTCACTAATGAGGGCTCTCTTTGGGATTCTCAAATCTCAATCACCTCACTAGGACCTTGCTTTTCTTGGCACTTCAAAGGTGTTTCTCAGCTGTTGGAATGAGCAAAAGTACCCCCTCACACGAATGGAGGAAGTATTTATACACCCGTGTTCAAAACGAACCGTTATGTGCTTCTGCGAGGTGACCGGACGCTCTGGTCAAGTTGACCAGACGCTACGGTCAGTTCACCCCGACCTCCAGTGTTTAAGTTGTGACCGGACGCTGGACAGCGTTCGGTCACGATTTCTCCTCTCTGGAACCTTACTGGAGTCGACCGGACGCTGGCACCTAGCGTCCGGTCGCACCAGATGATTTCACCTTGATCAAATGAACTGACCGGACTCTACGCCAGCGTCCGGTCACACCGGAACCAGCATCCGATCAGTATTTGACCCTCTATTCTCTTTCAACTCTCAATCATATGTGAATGAAGTTTGCTCCAATGGATCTAAGGGCTTTTTAGGAGCTACCTAGTGCTAGATTTAGCAAGTGTGCACCACATCTAACCCTCTAAACTCACCTAGTTCAAGCTACCCGTCCATACCCCCCTTAATAGTACGGTTAAAGAAAAAACAAAGTCCTAAACTACTCTAAGTGTCTCTTCAACTCCAATCGACACTTAGAACTAGTCCATCCTTAACCTTGTCGTCCATCCTTTGAAAACCGAAACAATTTCCATCGTAGGGGCATGACCACAATGATTGCCCAATCGATCTCTATTATCATGACCTAACTTAATTGCCTCTGCAAAACACACGTTAGTCATAGCAATCACGTATTGTCATTAATCACCGAAACTCAACTAGGGACCTAGATACTTTCAGTGTATCTACAAGTGGAAAACTAACAGATCTCCTTAACAGATTTGATGGAAGGCCATAGAAGGAAGAGAATTTCATTTTAAGGCCATACAAGTAAGTTCAAATAAAAAAGGGCCATTGAAGTAAGATGTATTTTTTCTAGGGCCATACAGATAAATATCTCTAACGGATATGGGGATTACATAAACGTTCCAGTACCCGCGTACGCAATGGGTGAAGGTTTTCCCCCAATTAGAGACCCGCGTGTGATGTATTGAGTCTAGATTCAGACCCTAATGGAGTAAATACCCGTTGTGTCTCGAGTCGCGGGTCCCCATTACCATATTTAGTTTTTACGGATAGACTTTTGTTTCTTTCTAAAAAGAGATTCTAGACCGAAGGAACAACCCTCTCTATAAAAAAATATCCAAACACCTTTTAAAAGACTAGAACATAAGAAACTTAGAAAAAAACACCAAATTAACTGCAATAGACAAAGTATGCATGGGTAAAGATTTAATTGGTTATATAGAGAATCAAATTTCATTGCCTCTCACGCGTGGAGCCACAGAGGAAATGCGACGCGCCCGTCGTCTACGGAGCCATGGTTGGACCTAGTGATCTCACAAAGGACGCGATCTTATGATCTGAATGTAGTTGTAGGTTTGTTTATGTACGTGTGGTGTGAGTGTGGTGTGCATGTGTGTGGTTAGTGTGAGTCTGTACATGAACAGATGCTACAGCTGTATCGAGACGAGAGACGTCGAAAAAAAGTACGAGGAGTTGTACCAAAGCCCATAAAAAAGTCATACGTAAAACCGCCGCTCGAAAGGTGGAAACGGCCCAGTAGATTTACTTCACACCACGGACCCCACCCATACATTCCTCGTGCCAGCGCCGGTCCCGACAGTTGTCCCCCACACCGGACGTCTTCTCTCTCGTCCCCACCTGTCATCCATCATCCAACAACTTATTCATTTAGCTATAGCTTATCGTAAATGATCATAAATTTTCAACCAAAACAATATTTTTCTTTCACATATATCAACCAAGTATGCTTCTTCACGAACCAACGACCAGTCAACCGCTGCAAGTCAGATACCACCGAAAATCGAAGCCTCTCGCCGTCTCGCGCACCCCTGGCCCCCGCCCATGTCCCCTCGATAGCACCCCCTGTTTTTTCCCATCTCCAACTCCAACTCTCCTGCCCCCCACCTCTGCTCTCCTCTCGCCTCCCGCCGTTGCAGTTTGCAGCTCCAACCCCAACCCCAACCCCAACCCCAACCCCCGAGCCCTTGCTCCCCGAGCCGTCGCCTTCGCCTTCGCCGCGAAATCTAGGGTCTAAGCCGCGCATCGGGTACCGCGCACGCACCGACCGACCACCCGGTCTCGGTCGCCGGTGGTTGAGCGCGGCCGGAGAAGGGAGGGGCGTCACTGCTCGTGGGCGTGGGCGTGGGCGTGGGCGCGGTCGGTTAGCCATTGTGCCCCGCGACCATGTCGCAGACGAACTGGGAGGCGGATAAGATGTGAGCGTGCATTGTTGTTTCCCGACGGTTTAAGATGCTTGTTCTTTTTTTCTTCTTTTGAAACGGGTTGTTTTTTTTCCTAGTGCGGTATTTCCTGGGCGCCGTTCCGATGTTCGCGTTTGCCGTTCCACAGTTGTCTTGCTGGACAGGCATATACGCTGTCTGTTGAGTCTGGCTTCCCTTGGGGATAAACTACATATGGAGTTAGAAGGAATATTTTTGTGAGATTGCGACATGCCGTGGGAAATAATGCCGATTTAGTGTACCGATGAATAGCGACTACTGCCCAGTGGCTACCGTTGGTGTCGCTGAGATTGCATGGGCGGGTTTGTAGCTTAGTAGAGGCGTACAGATGTACTGACATGATGATGTTTTACAATGTACAGCCATTACAATAAAAGATGTTGGTAGTTCCTCGTATTCTTTAAGTCTTGACTTCTTGACTCCTTGTAGATAATGAGATCTCGTAGATAATAGGACAATGCAATGTTGTACCGTTCTGAATGTTTTTTGTTTCCATCCAGTTTGCGATGGTGATGTAGTTATATAAATTAGACGCATGTTTGCTTTGACCCTCCTCAGAAGGACTGAGTGATCTATTATTTTATTACTTAATGATGAAACAGGCTGGATGTGTACATATATGACTATTTTGTCAAGAGAAACCTTCAGGCAACCGCAAAGGCGTTCCAAGCAGAAGGCAAGGTCTCATCAGATCCAGTTGGTATGCCTCTTGAACAGTCACAAATGAGTCTTTTTAGTTCGGTTTCATTTTTGTGCTGGCATGGTTTTGAGCTTATCTTTCTTGTAGCTATTGATGCTCCTGGTGGCTTTCTCTTTGAGTGGTGGTCTGTATTTTGGGATATATTCATAGCACGAACAAATGAGAAGCACTCAGATGTTGCAGCATCATATATCGAGGTATGCATGTGGACATGCTAAACCATGCTCTTCATTCCTGCCTGTTACAACCATTTTTCTAATGTAGTTACAGAAACAATCTACCTCAACTTATTTTTCTAAATGGGGTGTGCTACCGTCTACATTATATATATTTACAACAAATCCGCTGTAGCAGCAGTGGCAACAACACCAACAACAAAGACTTTCAGTGCTATGCAAGTTGGGGTAAGCTAGAGCTGAAACCCCAACTTCCTTGGGACTAAAAACCTAAAAACTATATTTATACTAGGGGATCTAAAGATTATTTGTGGTTCAGGTACGTGGATAGTTGATTTCCATGTGCTCTTATCTATGGACAAGTTTCTGGGTATATATTGCACTCAAGTTCCTTTGTACTACTGCCTCCTATGTCAAGTTCAGTGTACCCCTCTGTTAGAGGCGTATGCCATGGGTCTACCTAGTGGCTAACAGTCATGCCTCAATTAGAGGCAAATCTGTTCAGCCTTGCCTTAGTTAGCTGATTGGGTTAGTTTGGAAGGTTGGAGAGATAATAGGAAAGAAGAGAGGAATTATAGAGAGTGATTAGCCAGGGAGGCTATTTATATGTAATCCGTATGGGGATTAGAGGCAAGTAGGAATTAGAAGGAAAAGCCTTCTCTCTTGCTCGGCCGTGGGCAAGGTCCACGGCTGGCCCCCTCTCTCCCTCTCAACCCTAGCCGCCACCATAACATCTGGTATCAGAGATGTCTGATGCCAGGTTCCGCTGCAGATTTGTCCCAACTTCCATCGCCTGCTTCATGTCACGGCACTGCTTTTGCTGCTGTTAATTCTTCATCTGGCATGGGCAGCGCACCATTTTCAAGTGTCGGCGCCATGTCATCCTTGCAAATCGGTGACCTGCAGCAGCAGCCGTGCCATGTGGAGGTGTGGCCATGCTGTCCCCGAAGGCGATCGTGGCGTCTGCTGCGATCGTCCCATCGATCAAGGATCTGTGTGCCAGCATAAGGGACATAATGGCCAAGATCCAAGTTGAGATCGATAAGTTGCAGCAGATTGAGAAGATGGAGATCGCGCGGGAGCAGCTGAGTAAGAAGAGTGTAGCGGTGGTACGGATGCAGACTGCTACGCACGGCCTCCGAGTGCGTCGGCTGGTACTGGAGATGCGCAGTCTGCAGTTGATTCAGCTCCGCATCCCTTAGCAACTCCTCCAAGTTGCGCTTCACCGCACGAGGGCGTCGATCTTGTCCGCTGCGTTGGGGATCTTGGGCATGCTGTTTCCCCCGTGGATGGCGAACTCAGAGTCTGCGGCGGTGGCGGTTGGGGAGGCGCACCCCTCCTCGCCGTTCTCAATCGGAAGCCCTCCTCTCTCCCCTGTGCGTCGCGAACCAGCAGCCGTCTGGTGGGGAGAAGGCATGGGATCACTGGCAGGCGCGCACCGCATAGCGCTGCCGCATTCCGCCACCGACCGCCACGAGGGCGCCTCCGCTGGTTGCTGTTGTGGCATGGCCACCTTGCTGCCTTCTTGGTGATGCGCATGCTGACGGCGCAGACAGGCGGAGCTCCATTTTCCTCGGCAAGATTGGCTGCAGTTGCTGTGCCTAGCTCATCCATTCGGATGGGTCTGGGTCTGGGCTCGTGCTGGATGTGGTGGCCAAGCTGCGTGGGCTGCTGTGCTCTTGTTTCTTCAAGACGTCAGCCCATGTGCGGACTGCTCCATGGGATCCAGGTGGTTGTACGTGTGCAGTTATTGCGTTCAGACGGTGTCCACCTTCCATTGAGGCCGCCGCCAAAATAAAGAGTCCAAATCTATTTTAGGTTGAGAATAATAAAATGAGCCGAGATGTAAAAGGCTCGTTTTTAGGTGTTAGATCTGTGTCGAGTCGAGTCATCCTTATAGGCTGGTTAGGTTGCAGCTCGAGGACGAGCCGCTTGTCCAGGAGGGGTGTAGTGTTAGAGGCTTATGTCATGGGTCTACCTAGTGGCTAACAGTCACGCCTCATTGGCAAATCTGTTCAGCCTTGCCTTAGTTTGCTGATTGGGTTAGTTTGGAAGGTTGGAGGGATAATAGGAAAGAAGAGAGGAATTGTAGGGAGTGATTAGCCAGGGAGGCTATTATATGTAACCCGTATGGGGATTAGAGGCAAGCAGGAATTAGAAGGAAAAGCCTTCTCTCTTGCTCGGCCGTGGGCAAGTCCCCCGGCCGGCCCCCTCTCTCCCTCTCAACCCTAGCCGCCACCATAACACCCCCCCTCTCCTTGTTTTAGCCATGCCTTAGGATTCACCTATGCACCGATACCTCTGTAGATTGCAAAGAACACATCTCTCTGAGATGTGAGTCCAAATTTTGCTTGTTAGTGGCCTCGTTTAGATATGCCATAAGTTTATGTCTGATTCAATGGTTTCTGCGCAAATCATTATTGAGCTTCTCCTGTACTAGCTATTGCCACTGTAACTGTTTTTGCTGTTGTTTTCTGGACATGGGAGATGACTCCTGAATAGACGGTGCTAATTTAGCTGTACTTTGCTGTATATTTTTCAGACTCAGCTAATTAAAGCAAGGGAACAGCAACACCAACAGCCACCTCAACAACAGCAACAGCAGCAGCAGCAAATACAAATGCAACAAATGCTGTTACATAGAGCTGCGCAGCAGCAGCAGCAGCAGCAGCAGCAGCAGCAGCAGCAGCAGTAGAGATGGTTCTCTTCTCAATGGTACTGTTAGACTGCTATATTATGGGCTATTAGCATTGCCATATGGGCTGTTATGCCCTGGGCTTGGGCTGTAGGCGCCCTTTGGGGTTTTATGGTAGATGATCTTGGTTTAGACAATGATCACCGTTGATTGGGTGTTTCTATAAACCCTAGACAATCCTTGCCTATATATTGTACTCCTTTGGTACCTCCATAATCAATCTACTAAGTTTTCCCGAGCCATCTCTTCTTTCATGGTATCACGAGTTTGGGTATTCCCGATTCTACCTCCGCTGCCCTAGCGCGCCTCCTCTCCTCGGCTGCGCTCCTCCCCAGTGTGCCCTCCCCTCGGCTGCGCTCCTCCCACCCATCTGCGCCGGCTTACCTGCTGCGATGCCTGGGACTCCTCCCCCCTCTCCCAAATCGGCAGCCGCCGCCGCCGCTGCCTCCAAGGCTGCCGTTCCCACGGTTTCCAGCCTGGACTCCGAGGCCACGGCTGCCGCCGCCGCCAAAGCTGCTGCCGATGCGGATGCCGCTGCGCGCCTACGCGCAGCCAATCGGAAGGCTGTGCGCGATGCCGCCCTCGCGCGCATCGCCGCCGCTGAGAAAGAAGCCCAGGCCGCCGCTTCGGAGCGCGCCGCCGCCGCCGCCCGCGCTCGCGACGCCTTGGCACGCACCGAGCAGGAGCGCGCTGCCGCTGGCGCTCCCGCGGACGGGGATGATGAGGACGACCTCTCCGATCACGCTTCCGACCACAACGACAACACCGATCTGCATCAAGCCCTCCTTCTGCAAGAGGCTGCTGCAATCGCCAACCTCCATTCCCACGCTGTTGCGGTCCAGAACATCTGCAATCTTGTCACGGTTGTTCTCGATCTCAACGCCGGCAACTTCAATCGGTGGTGCGATCAGTTCCTCCTCATCGTTGGGAAGTATTCCCTTCAACACCATGTCCTGCAGGACTTACCGGCGCCTGGTTTCCTTGACTGGCAGCGCATGGATTGCGTTGTCAAGTCATGGATCCTCTGCACCATCTCCGACGACCTCGCCGCGACGATCTCAGCGCGCAACTCCACTGCCCGCGACACTTGGCGCGCCGTGGAGTCCCAGTTCTTCAATAACCGCGAGACACGCGCCCTCCTCCTTGACGCCAAGCTCCGCAACTTCGTTCAGGGTGATCTGTCCATCACCGATTACTACAAGGAGCTCAAGCGCATGGCGGACACGCTTGGTGACTTAGGTGAAGTCGTCACCGACCGCACCCTCGTCCTCAACCTCATTCGCGGTCTGAATGAGCGCTTCAAGACCGTCGGCATGCATCTCCGGCGAGGGCGCCCCTTCCCCACGTTCCTGGACGCGAAGGCTGATCTCCTGGAGGAGCTGACGATGGAGAACACGTCGTCGTCTCAGTCGACAGCGCTCGTCGCTTCCACCACTACGTCAGCCCCGTCGCGTCCTCCTGTTGTCAAGCAGCCTGCAGCCTCCAGCGCAGGCACCGGGGGTGGCTCTGCTCCCTCCAAGAACCGCCGCGGAAAACGTGGCGGCCGGCGCGACGGTCCTGGTGGCAACCCGGCGCCCACTGGTACGCAGCCAGGTGCCCAGTCCAGCGCGTCCTTCGGTGGCCAGTTTAAGCCCGGCAGCTCCGGCTCTAAGGGCGAGCCATGGCCCTCCTACCGCCCGTGGGCCCGGGCCATCCAAATGTGGCCTGGACCACAGCCTGGGCAGCGACCTCCACTTGCGCCACTGCCTGGCACCCCTCAGCACGCTCTGCTGGCCCAGCAGACTCTTCAACAGCCTGCTGTGCCTGCCCCGGCCATGGAGAACGCAGGTTCTTGGACTGCACCACCCCCTGGCTACTACCAACAGCACGCCGGCCTCCCCACATGGGATCAGTCATCTCTGGCGTCGACATTCAGCACCATGACGCTGCAGCAGCCCCAAAACACCAATGACTGGTACTTCGATTCAGGTGCAACCTCTCACATGTCCTCACATTCCGATTCGCTTTCACATACTACCTCGCGGTATCCTACTCCATCGTCCATTGTTGTCGGTAACGGACCCTTACTCCCCGTTACATCCACTGGCTCTACAGTTATTTCACCATCTTTCCGTCTTAATAATGTGCTGGTTTCCCCACACCTTATTAAGAACCTAATTTCTGTTCGCCAGTTTACTATCGATAACAATTGTTCTGTTGAGTTTTACCCGATTGGGTGTTCTGTGAAGGATCTTCTGTCTCGGAACGTGATCGTCAGGTGCAATAGCTCTGGACCGCTGTACCCTCTTCGGCTGCCAGCTGTTCAGTCCTTGGTCGCCGCCACCGAGTCTTCACTTTGGCATCGCCGCCTCGGTCATCCTGGACACGAGGCCCTCTCCAAGCTTGCGCCGAGTCTTCCTACTTGTCGTCATGATACTACTACTGTTTGTCATGCATGTCAATTAGGTCGTCATGTGCGTCTTCCATTTCATTTGTCAACTTCTCGAGCGTCCAATAAATTTGATCTGATACATTGTGATCTGTGGACATCACCTGTTCTTAGTCTCGGGCTATAAATATTACTTGGCTATTCTTGATGATTGTTCACATTATTTATGGACGTTTCCTCTGAAGTTGAAATATGACGCTTTTCCGACAATCGCTCACTTTTTTGCCCTTGTGTCCGCTCAGTTCGGCACCACCATAAGGCAGTTCAGTGCGACAACGGTCGTGAGTTTGACAACTCCAGCTCCCGCACGTTCTTCCTTACTCATGGTGTTCGCCTCCGCATGTTGTGCCCATATACTTCCTCCCAGAACGGTAAGGCCGAGCGTATCATTCGTTCCATTAACAATGTGGTTCGCTCCCTACTGTTCCAGGCTTCTCAACCACCCTCATTCTGGGTCGAGGCTATGCAGACAGCCACATATCTCATTAACATCCTGCCCACCAAAACGCTGAGCTCATCCACCCCGCACTTTGCCCTCTTTGGCACAGCGCCCTCCTATGATCACCTACGCGTTTTTGGCTGCAGTTGTTATCCCAACTTGTCCGCCACAGCTCCCCACAAACTTTCCCCTCGATCCACCAAGTGTGTCTTCCTGGGATATTCAGCTCATCATAAAGGATACCGCTGCCTTGATCTCTCTTCCAATAGAGTTATCATCTCTCGTCACGTCGTTTTTGATGAGTCAGCATTCCCTTATGCTGAGCGTGCCTCCACTACATCCCCGGCATACTTTGATTTTTTGGACATTACTGACTATGTGCCGGCTCCCATCGGACCAGCACATAAGTTTCTATCTGCAGGCACGAGTCCTTCGACACTCGCACAGCCACGTGCGGCGGCGGCTGACACCGATGATGATCTGGCTGGTTCAGCAGCGCTTGATGCACTCCCAGCCAGTCCACCAGTCGCACCTGCCACCTTGCCCGCACAGCCACGTGCGGCCACCGCCTCGCCTTCGCCCGCACAGCCACGTGCGGCTATTGCGCCCGCCACCTCGCCTGCACGGCCACGTGCGGCACCGACTTCTTCGACCTCGCCGTCACCCGCAGCTTTGGCCGAGCCGCGCGGACATCCGCCCGGTTTCCCACCGCTGCCCGTCTTCCCGGTGCCCGCAGTCCGTCACGTCTACATGCGCCGGGAGCGACCAGCCGCTGTCCGACCAACAGCTGCTGCTGTTCAGCCAGCTGCTGCCCCTACGCCGCGCCAGGACAGCCCTGCTGTTGTCCAGCCAGCTGCTGAGTGCCCAGCTGCTGTTCAGTCAGCTGCCGCACCTGCGCCACTGCCTAAGGGTGCTGTCGCTGTACCCCAGTAATCAACCAGCACCCCATGGCCACGCGCGCGAAGACCGGCTTCCAGATTCCTGCTCTTTATCATGCTACGCCACTGTCCCCAGTGCCCAAGACCTTTCGCAGCGCACTCGCCGATCCGAATTGGCATGCTGCTATGGAAGAAGAACATGCTGCTCTTCTCCAAAACCACACATGGGATCTTGTTCCCCGCCCCCCTCGGGCTAATGTGGTCACCGGGAAGTGGATTTTCAAGCACAAGTTCAACGCCGACGGGTCACTTGAGCGGTACAAGGCACGCTGGGTCCTTCGTGGCTTCACTCAGCGGCCTGGCGTGGATTTTTCAGAGACTTTCAGTCCAGTTGTGAAGCCTGCTACAGTTCGCACCGTGCTTTCTCTGGCCTTGTCCCACCAGTGGCTCGTGCACCAGCTCGATGTGAAGAATGCCTTCCTACATGGCACCTTGTCAGAGACAGTGTATTATGTACAGCCGTCTGGTTTTGAGGATCCCACCCACCCGGACTTCGTGTGTCAGCTCAACAAGTCCTTGTATGGGTTGAAGCAGGCTCCTCGCGCTTGGTACAGTCGGTTCGCCACTTTTCTGTTGTCTCTCAGGTTTGTCGAAGCCAAGTCAGACACCTCGCTCTTCGTCTACAGGCACGGCTCAGATATTGCCTATCTTCTCCTGTATGTGGATGACATTGTCCTAACAGCCTCCTCCCTGGGTCTCCTTCGGCGGATCATTTCGGCCCTCCAACAGGAGTTCTCAATGAAGGATCTTGGCAAACTGCATCACTTCCTTGGTATGCATGTTCAGCAGTGTGGTGACGGTCTCTTCCTTTCACAGCGGCAGTATATGATGGATATCTTGGACCGTGCTGGGATGGCTGAGTGTAAACCGTGCTCCACTCCGGTCGACACAAACCCCAAGGTTGCAGCTGCTGATGGTCCTCCTGTGGCTGATGCAACAGATTATCGAAGTCTTGCTGGCGCATTACAGTATCTGACCTTCACACGGCCTGACATCGCCTATGCTGTCCAGCAAGTCTGCCTTCACATGCATGACCCACGGGCACCACACTTGGCAGCACTCAAGCACATTCTTCGCTATGTTCGGGGCACTCTCCACTTGGGTCTACTATTGCGGCCATCTCCTGCCACTGATCTTGTGGTCTACACTGACGCTGATTGGGCTGGTTGCCCTGACACGCGCAAGTCCACCTCGG